GCAAGAGAAAAAAATAATGGGCATGCAAATAGAAAGACAGGAAGTCAAACTATCACTGTTGGCAGATAACATTATCTTATGTTTAACAAACCCCATATTCTCATCCCAAAACTTCTGAAGCTGACCACAACTTCAGTAAAGTCTCAGAATATAAAATCACTGTGTGAAAATAACATTGCCATATACCAACAACAGTCAAGCCAGGAGCCAAATAAAAACACAATTCCACTCAGAACTGCCATACACACAAAAAATTATTCCCAGGAATACAGCTAACTAGGAAGTTGAAAGATCTTACAAGAAGAAATATAAAATGCTGCTCAAAAAATTAGACAACACAAACAAATGGAAAAACATTCCATGCTTAATATAGGAAAAAAAATCAATATTGTAAAAATGGCCATACTGCCCAAAACAATTTATAGATTCAATGCTATTCCTGTTAAACTACCAATGACATGCTTAACAGAACCAGAAAAAAACTATTTTAAATTCAGATAGATCCAAAAAATAACCCGAATACCCAAGGCTATCTCAAGCAAAAGAACAAAGCTAAAGGCATCATGCTACCCAACTGCAAACTGGACTACAAGGCTACAGTAACCAAAACAGCATGGTACTGAAACAAAAACAGACACATACACCAACGGAACAGAATAGAAAACTTAGAAATAAGGCTGCACATCTGCAACTGTACAACTATCTGATTTTGAACAAACCTGATAAGAGTAAGCAATGGATGCCACTGCACTCCAGTCTGGGCAACACAGCAAGACTCCATTAAAAAAAACGTGAGATTTTTGATTATTATGACGTACCTATGATTGAGTCCTCTCAGGATACTAGCTGGAGACTAGAGCAGCAGCTGGGCAGGGCCCTGATTGAGTGAATTTATTTTGGACTATATGAAAATTTTAATTAAGCTAGCACAAGGCTCTGCCTTATGTTTATGTTAGGGACTTGAGGAAACATGAGAGAACATGTTAATCAACTTGGTGAATGGCAGAGAACTGGGAATGGCAAAAATTATTTAAGTGATCTGAGGCCAAATTAACATAAGTGATGCTTTATAAACCATAGGAGGTGACAATTCTGCAGCATGGTGTATTGGCTAAAAAAGCAGGCTCTGGTGTCAGTTCCTGGCTGCAAAGCCCATCCCTACTCCCACTAGCTGTGATACTTACCTAAACCTCTGCTATGTATTAAGTGTGAACAATAATTACACCTACTCCATAGAGTTGTAGTATTGAGATCTTGCATGTAACATGCTTAGAAAAATGCTTGATATGCCGAAGATGCTTAGCAAATTTTGCTTATTATTATTATGATTGTGGTCACTCTGCTAGTATAATTACTGGGAATGTTAATCCTGCATGATAAGCTTTTAGAATGATAACTGATAGGTTAGAACATATTTAGAGCTGAGCTTTGGAAAAGATAAAGACCCTGTTAACTGACAGATCCAGGGTCACTTAAACCTGAGAAAGTAAAGATGCCTGTGCCCAGGGGCTGACTTGGCTTCATACATGAAGGAGTGTCCTATGTAAGTGAGATAAATTATGGTTCACATATCCTCAGGAAGAAGAACTAAGGGTAATGAATGGATGCTGGGTATTAAACATAAGGAAGAATTTTCAGTGAGAGTTGTCCAAAACTGCTTTCAAAGTAATGAGTTGTCTGATACTGAAGTCATCCAAGTAGACTTTGAAACCATTTTGCTGATATTATTCAGGGGATTCTAGCATCAAATAAGTGGTCTTGATTTTATGAGTTGCTTCCAGATAGATTATATAGCTATATAGTGAAAGAGCTGTCTGCAAAGAAATAAAAAGGGTAATTGATTAGCCCAGGTGCACTGTTTTGAAGACTTTTCTTACTAATCTCCAGTTAGTTACTTTAAATGTCCCATGAAGACTCATTGAATTGTCGTTGCACAGGAGTTGAGGTTCCCAGCCATTGCTATCACCAATTCGTCACTTATAATTTTTATCTTTCCTTTGTCCTTTACTTGTATCATCTCTAAAACTATTACAACCACAGTAATTATAGTCATTACCACAACAGACTAACAATGATTGAGCACTTAATAATGTGAAAACATGGTAAGTGTGTGTCTGCATGGTGTGATGTGTTTCATGTGTAGTCCCAAATGTAATTGTCACAGAAAACTCACGAGGTGGATTCCATTATCATTACTTATGTGAATACTGATATTATTGACCCAGGGCCTGAAGGTGCATGCATGTGTCAGCTGCAGCAGCTGTGTTCTGGCACTCTGGAACATGCCGTTCAGGAACACGAAGTCCTTGCTCAGGCAGCGCAGGGAGAAGTTGCCACCTCCTTGGGGCGTTAAGATCTCCAGATGGTGCCAGGAGATAGGACTCAACTGGCCTGTGCTCCCTTCCAGTGAGCCCAGAGATGAATCTTACCCCATGGACACCCACCACTCCTTCATCAGGTACTGGAATTGGGGCTCTTGAGACATGCGCTGGCCCCACCACATTCAAGTCAGTGTCCACATATGGGAGCAATTCTATAACTGCTGCCTTGTGCCTGTGGAAGCTGAGGGGGAGGGGTCCAGACCTAGGCCACTGGCCCAGGAGCCAGTCAGTGAGCCAGAGACAGTGAGGGATGTCAGAACCTTCTTGGAGGACATCTTGGGGCTTTCTCTGGTTTGTATGTATTTTCTCATTCATGAATGTAGGAACATTGGCTAAGAGGTATTCATTGTGGCCATATTAATTTTAGTTCTGGAAGGTGCAGTTCCAGCAGTTCCATGTGTCTTCTTTCAAGAAATGTTTATTCAGATCTTCCGTTCATTTTTAAATCAGATTCTTTTCTGTTTTCTGGAGTTCTTTTGGTATTGAATTGTTTGAGCTTCTTGTAAATTCTGCTTTTGAATTCCTTGCGGGGTGGAGAGTTTGCAAATAGTGTGTCCCATCCTGTATGTCATCTCTTTTCTGTTGTTTCTTTTGCTATGCTAAAAGCTTTGCAGGATAACAGAATTACATTTATTTTTGCTTTGGTCACCTGTGCTTTTGAGGTCTTATACCAAAAACCTTTGCCTACAGCACGTCCTTGAGAGTTTCCATGAGGTTTTATTCTTGTAGTTTCAGGTCTTCAGTGTAATTATTTAATCCATTTGATTTTCACCTATAGTGAGAGATAACAAGTCTAACCTCGTTCTTGTGCATGAAGTTAGTTTTTTCAGCACCATTGATGGGAAGAGACTGCCCTTTTCCCATTGTATGTATTTTCTTGGTATCCTTGTGAAAGATGAGTTATCTGTAAATGTGTACATGTATATCCGGGTTCTCTATTCCCTTCCATTGATCTGTGAGTCTGTTTTCAGGACATGGACATGCAGATTTGGTTACTATACCTTCCTAGTACATTTTGAAGTCAGGTAGTGTGGTAACTCCAGCTATGTATCATTTTGGCTCAGAATTGCTTTGACTATTCAGGATCTTTTGTAACTCCATAGAAATTTTAGGATTTTTTTTCTATTTCTGTGAAGATCATTGGTATTCTGATAAAAATTGCATTGAATCTGCTCATTGCTTTCACTACTTTGTCATATTAACAATCTTAATTTTGCCAGTCTGTAAGCATGAATGAGGTTTTATTTTCATGTGTCTTTTTCCATTTCTTTTTTCAGTGTTTTATAGATTTCCTTACATACATGTTTCACATCTTTGGCTAAATGGACTCCTAGGTGTTTTATATTGATTGCAGTTATTGTGATTGAGATTGCATTCCAGGTGGTTTCATTCTCTTGTTTACACATGAGTGGCAAAGACCTCTGCATTAATTACTTTGTTGTATTGTTTTCTCCGTGGAGATAATTGATTTGTTTTATTTTTACTCTATATTTTATTATACTTTAAGTTCTGGGGTACTTGTACAGAATGTGCAGGTTTGTTACATAGGTATACACATGCCATGGTGGTTTGCTGCGCTCATCAACCCATCATATACATTAGGTATTTCTTTTAATGCTATCCCTCACCTAGCCCCACACTCTCCAACAGGCGATTTTTGCTTTTCTTTAGAGAATAACACTGGAAATGACTTGTATTAAGCCTTGACCGAGTATTTTGGTAATTGACATAATGAGATTTGTGTTTGGCTGAGAGATTAGATTCTCCACTAAGTATAATGAACAAATAAGGGTAACTTTCTTTTCTTTCTGAAATTTTAAAAAACTATTCCCTCACTCAGTTCTTTCTTCTGATTTCACATTTCATTGAAAGGCTGTGGTCTCAGTGTTATGAGGAGCTCCTTGTCTGAAGCAGCTGCTCACGGAACAGGCAGATCTCTATACAGGAGCCCTCATTTCTAGAGGGAAACTTTGTCATTAGAAAAATGCCTAATGCTCAAACCAGGGGCTATTTAGGCTTTCTCAGACTTGGACTTTCTGAGATTTTGTAATTAAATTGAAGTTGCTTTGGGTTTAAACCAGGAAATCACATCTTCTTATTTGTATCTGACTTCATTTCTCTAACTGTGTCATTAAATTTATACCACCTTTCTTTTCCACAACCCCTAGAGCCCAGAGATCAAACACAATCATTTCGAGAAACAACACCCTCGTCTCCCCCATTTATCTCTATTCATTGTGAACAGATAAAGCTGGTGACTACCTGCTATGTTACTAACTTACATTAATATGAACTTTTTGCTTTTACATAGTTTCCCTGGATGCTGCACATAGAGCTTTACAGTTTCTGAAATGACTCAGATAATTCCTCGTCAGAAGTTGAGGAAATGAGCAAAGTATGCATGAGGAAGTTGGAGGGTCCCCATGAAGGAAAAAAGAAGGTACCTTACAAAAATTGATGCACGAAGTGTCATCATATACAATGGGCAATGCACGTGGGCCACTGCTATTTCTTCACTAAGGACAGGTAGGGAGGGTCTCTGGAGGCAGTGCTTGCTCACTCTGCCCAGCCAGAAGCCTATCCCCTGCTCTTTCTGCCTCCCTTATCATTGACACTCACCTTTACGGTGCGGAAAACTTTGGCCTTGTTCTTTAACCTCATTTTATTCTGAAATATTTATTTATTTATTTTGAAAGAGTCTTGCTCTGTCACACAGGCAGGATCTTGGCTCACTGCAACCTTCAACTCAGGGTTTCAGCATTTCTTGTGCCTCAGCTGGGATTACAGGTATGCGCCAACATGCCTGGATAATTTTTGTATTTTTAGTATAAATGAGGTTTCACCATGTTGGCCAGGCTGGTCTTGAACTCCTGATTTCAAGTGATTGGTCTGCCATGGTCTCCCAAAGTGTTGGGATTACAGGCACGTGCCATAATATCTGGCCTCATTCTGAATTTTTAAAGCTTGATGTAACTGCCTTTACCTCTTCAATTTGAAAAAGTTGTTTTAGAAATTGAAATAATTCTTGTTACATTTTTCTTAGATTTTAAAAAATGTTAGTCACCTGCTTTATTTGTAGACAATGCATAGAGATAAAATGTGAGGGATTATGGTGGCATTGTTTTTCAAACTTACCCTGTTTGCTTAATCTCTGGGCTCGAGGGCATGTAGAAAAGGAAAGTAGCATAAATTTAATGACACAGTTACAGAAGAATTAGACCTAAATGATGAGATCCTGGAGTATGAATGCTTTAGAGGAGAATATAGACCAAGGTAAGTATTCACAAATGGATATTTTAAATTCCTTTTGTTTTTAATTTAGATTTCTATAAAATTAGAAATATTATTCTTTATCTAAAAATAGAATAGATTTTATTCATTTTCTACTACTGCTGTTCCAGCTATAGTACCATGAGGGAGATCTTCGCTAGCTAGAGTAAAAATACTGCAGCTGCTTCTAAAAGTTGTTTAAGATAATTTCTTACAAATAGCCTTGGACAGATAGGTGGCAGGGGTGAGTAATACTGTCAGGGGATGAAATAAATATCAAAGAGAAACTAGTGAATAAAGAAATCCAACCTTAAAAATAGTTTCAGAGGCCGGGCGCGGTGGCTCAAGCCTGTAATCCCAGCACTGTGGGAGGCCGAGGCGGGTGGATCACGAGGTCAAGAGATTGAGACCATCCTGGTAAACATGGTGAAACCCCGTCTCTATTAAAAAATACAAAAAATTAGCTGGGCATGGTGGCCCGTGCCTGTAATCCCAGCGACTCAGGAGGCTGAGGCAGGAGAATTGCCTGAACCCAGGAGGCGGAGGTTGCGGTGAGCCGAGATCGCGCCATTGCAGTCCAGCCTGGGTAACATGAGTGAAACTCCATCTCAAAAAAAAAAAAAAAAATAGTTTCAGAAAAACTAGTTGTCCACTAAAATTTTCAAATTTCCTTTTTACTTATATAGGAATATGACAAATTAGAGAAGATATTTTTAGCACCTATAGTTTTAAAAGCATATTCATTATGCAGTGTGCCAAAGCAGTATTTACCATCCCTGATCCAAGGACAAAAATGCATAAAGGAAAGTACATCACAAAACGCAATTAGAATTAGCTACTTGAAAAAGCCATTTTGCAGACATCTGAGCATTTCTGAAACGTGATTTTGAAATCTAGGAGCATTTCCAACTTTCTACGCTTATTAGATTCACTATATTAGACATTGACAATCTGCCATTATAGTAGTATATCTAATATAGTAGTGTATCTAATCTATAGTAGTATATCTAATAATGGCAACAAGGGTTGAATAGAATATCATTGCCAGAATTTACTTAGATTTGGCCAAACTGTAGAAATGGCTCACTGAGGCCAGGGATGATATGACCCAGTGCCAACGAATGTACTTTTGTTTTTATTTATTTGTTTTTGTTTTCTTTTTTTTTTTTTTTGAAACAGTTTCACTCTTGTTCCCCAGGCTGGTATGCAATGGCATAATCTTGGCTCACCCAGGTTCAAGCAATTATCCTGCCTAAGCCTCTTGAGTAGCTGGGATTACAGGCATGTACTACCATTCCCGGCTAATTTTGTATTTTTAGTAGAGACGAGGTTTCACCATGCTGGCCAGGCTGGTCTCAAACTCCTGACCTCAGATGATTTGCCCACTTCGGCTTCCCAAAGTACGGGGATTACAGGTGTGAGCCATTGCGCTCGGTCTAGAACATACTTTTAAATGTTACTTGCCATTTGCTTAAATTTGCATTCCGTAAGATAGTCCATAAGATATAGTCTTTTCCTCACTCTATTACTGAACAACTCTCTTATTTCTTGCCCCTCCTCCTCAGTATCACCCTTCAATCGATTTCAGTGCCAGAACTAAAGTCCCCTGAATTTTATTCTAAGCAGCAACCTAAAAAAGACCCACATTTTACTTACACTTTGCACTTAACACATTTAGTGAGTAGTTACTTGCTGGAGTCATGGGCCCTTTGTTTTAGATTGTCAAGACAAGAAAACCTATTTTATTTAGACTTCTAAATGCCATGCTGCAAAGCAAATACATATACACTTGTGTAAGCTAAACATAGCATAATACTCACATGCTCTTTCACCAGAAGGGGCCTGATGCAAACTCCCAGGATCACCAAACAACACATGAGTCAGCATTGTCCAGCAGGAAGCTGAGGGCCTCTCTCTTGTCAGTTTTTTTCATTGTGAACCCAAAGTATTTCAGACAGGTCTAAGTAAATTTGGAAAGTTTATTCTGCCAAGGTTATGGACATGACACAGCCTTAAGGAGGTCCTGAGGGCATGTGCCCAAGGTGGTTGGGGTACAGCTTGCTTCTATATATTCTAAAAGACATGAGACATTAGTCAATATGTGTAATATGTATACTGGTTTTGTCCAGAAAAGCGGGACAACTCGAAGCATGGGAGGGGGTTTTCAGGTCATAAGTAGATAAGACAAATGGTTACATTCTTTTGAGTCTGTGATTAACCTTTTTCTGAATACACAATTTACACGTGAGAGGACGGTAGAGGAATCTTCATTTATGCGTTAGTCTGGCTTACTGAAATGATAAAGCAGAAGAAGCAATCATATGTACATTCTTCTCAAGTGAGCAGAGGGATGACACTGAGTTCTGTCCATCCTTTGCCCACAAGGAAATTCCCTGTGGGCAAATTGTAAGGGCATTATGTAACATATTTATCTTTGTAGCTATCTTCTTTAGGAATGAATTGTGAACAGGTTTACCTGAGGCATTTCCTAGCTTGACTTCCATTTGAATTAGTGAAGATCTATTTTCTTTTATACCATAAACTTCCTGTATGATTTAGTAGGTGATAGTGTAATATTTGAGAATATAGTATTTGGAATTTGAAGGTAATTAGTAAGCAAGAGAGAAATTCTCAAAATAATTCTAAAAAGAAAATAAATCCCTTTTCTTTCTTACTGCTTCCTGGTCATTATTTCCTTGGCAATATCTTACTCTGTATTTAGAAACATGTACATAAGTCATTTTCTTCTAGAATTGAGAAATTTAAAAATTTACACTGAATTTCTTTTAAAAATGTTGGCAGCATTTATTGAATTACACTTCATGTCCAAAAGATAGTACTATGTCAACATTCTTAGAATGCTATTGCTTTTTAAAGATCCTATTGTGAGTTTGCCTTTTAATTTATTGAATCAGGAAAGTATATAATTCATTTTTTCTTGTTAAAATGTGTTTAAATATGGTTTATTAAGTTTGAAAAGTTGGTTTAATAACTTATTGTTATAAGACTTTGTGTGGCTCTGAGTTTATTTCACTGTTCTTTTATGATTGTAATGGCTAAAAAAGATAAGTCATCATAAGGAAGAATTCATTTTCCTGCTTACTAAGATATGGTACTTGTTTTAAGTCCCATACGCCAATTAAGTAAAAACGTGTGTTAAAATTTTTCCTGCAATCTTTTATTTTTTGTAATGTCACTCAGTTCTCCAAAGTAATTGAAAGATACTGAATTTTTAAAACTAATTAAAACATTATAATTATATATAATGAGGTACAGTGTGATGTTTTGATACACATACACGTTGTATAATGATCAATTTAAGTCTACTTTCCTGTTCATGTGAGTTTGGCAAGTTTTAAAACTAATAAAACAGCCATTTTCTACTAGAAAATTTTCCTAATCCATCTTTGCCAACAATTTCACATCAGCCATCTCCTTGGTCTTATGGGTCTAATAAGCCTGGCTGTCTGTTGTAACCAAGCTGATTTTAAAAAACAATTAAGAAAGGACTATTTGAGAAAATGCTTGTTTAAATATACCAAGTAAGAGTCAACTGAAAAATCCTAAAGAAGAGAATCCAGGTAGACATCAGAGTGTCCCTGGTAGGTCCAGAAGTGCTCCCACTGGCCTTTTTCTGGATTAGTTATGTCTGTTAGGAGCCACATTTACTCACCCACTTCATCTTGTAAATCTTTTGTGCCAGGCCACAGAGGTGGCTGAAGAGCCAGTGCCATGGAGTGCTAAGAACACAAATGTAAATACATACTCAAGATTGGCCAGCACCATCACTGAGGTGCTGTGTGATGTGAGATGATTATCACCAATAAACAGAGGCATGGGGAGTGGGCAGTAAGGAAACACATGGCTGAAATTAACTTATCTGGCAAGAACAAGTGAAGGCTCATAATAACTTTGATTATCTTTTCAGCAGGACCCCACTGTACTGGTACCAACTTACCTTATTAGTCTATTTTCACACTCTGATAAAGACATACCGGAGACTGTGCAATTTACAAAAGAAAGAGTTTTTTTTTTTTGAGACCTAGTCTTGCTCTGTCTCAAGGCTGGAGTGCAGTGGCATGATCTTGGCTCACTGCAATCTCCAACTCCCTGGTTCAAACAATTCTCCTGCCTCTGCCTCTCGAGTAGCTGGGATTACAGGCACACACCACTACACCCAGCTAATTTTTGTATTTTTAGTAGAGATGGGGTTTTACCATGTTGGCCAGGATGTCTCGATCTCTTGACCTCGTGATCCACCCACCTCGGCCTTCCAAAGTGCTGGGATTACAGGCATGAGCCACTGCACCTGGCCAAGAAAGAGTTTTAATGGATTCACAGTTCCATGTGACTGGGAAGGCCTCACAATCATGGTGGAAGGTGAAAGGCAC